AACACTGTTGGAAAATCCTTGGGCACTTTTCATTTCTCGCACGGCTTCAGTGAACCCTGCTGATCCAGCCCTGATGAGACTTCTGGGACTCTTCATCTTTCAGAGTGAAAGAGCCACAGCTTTTAAACCAATAAATGTTAATAAATAAATCATCCCAAGGGCTTTCAGTGTACAGGTGCCTGCAGAGGAAACAAAAGAATAAGCAGCAGCTTCATTGTTCCTTGATAGCAGGTTGGGAGAAAGCCACCCTCCCCAGCAGCACAGGGGAAATGCTGGAGAAAGGGGCCGGCAGGGTGTTCTAGCAATGTGAGGACTCAACTGGATCCAGGATGGATAAGTTTCTGCTGGGCAAGGAGGAGAGATTCATTCTAAAGGAAAATCAGCAAATGGATGGACATAGGAAAATATAAGGTCTTCTAAGGGGAAAAGGTAGGCTGGAGTGGAGCTTTTAAGTACAAAACAGGGGATCAGAAAGGTAGGCTGGGATCTGGTGGAAAGGCCAAGGACATGAGATTTAGAACAATAGGACTGAGGTTTGGTTCTTAACCAGACAGTGTCAGTGGAGTGGAGAGGAAAGAGATGGCTGAAACCTGGAGGACTTGGGGCTTTACAACTTGGACAGTATTTAAGTGTTGAAACAGATCCGTGAGTTTAGGTAGAAAAATCTCATTTGAAGTAAAATATAGTGCCAGTGCAGATGAAATGAAATGGATAGAGGTAGAAGATGAGAGAAAGTGTGGGGAACAAGCAAAAATCTGTCTTGAGAAGCTGGGATAAACCTAACGGAGGTAACACTGCAATCAGCGTTCAGGCTTATGGAAACAATTGAAGACTGTTGTGGATGAAGGGATGGAGGGTTGTGGATGAAGCCTGTTGTGGATGAAGGGACGGAGGGTCCCTGACTGTTAGTCATTCACTCCCATGAGTTATTTTAGAGCATGTGACAGAGCAGTTTCTGTCTCCTTCAACTTCTTTAGAGGGTATGCATGAGATGGCTTAAGAAAACACATCCGGGCCTCCCTCATGGTGCAAGGGGTTAAGCACAGCACTATGAAGCTGTCCACAGCCACTGCAGCACGAGTTCAATCCCTGGCCGGTAAGGGAGCTAACACACATAGCAGAGCAGATCTCTCCTGTCTCGCCTGCTGCTCCCCTCAGCAGTGTATTTCAGTCAGTCTGCCTGTTCTGTTCCCCACTCTGTCTCTGGTGAATCCTCTCATCCCCCTGCAACTCTGGCCTGTACCCCCACTCTTGGATGCATAAATAAATAAATCTTAAAAAAAAATCTTAAAAATCTTTAAAAAATCTTAAAAAAATCTCATCCCTGAGAATTGTATGTGTGTATGAGTGAATAGGAAATCTTCAAATAGCATGAAAGCAATAGATAAAGAAATGTTAGTCTTGAATATTGCAGTGCATCAGAGACCATATCTGGTGGCCTCAGAAAGGATGGAGCATTCAGGTGAGGTTGTTTCTTTGTCCCTAACTCCTCTCTCTGTGGTGTGAGCTCAGAGACTGGCTGCTGATAGCTGTGGGTTCAGCCCATGGATGCTCAGATTATTCAGGAATAAAGGGAGAAGAATTGAATGATTAGTTTCTTACGACTCAAAAAATGTCTTTTTGATAAAGGAACTATTTTCAAAAATTTAAAAAACAAAACAGTATGAACCCAACAAGATGTAAGTTGGCATCATCATTTTGAGGGAAGAAATGATGGGTTCTACTCTTGTTACCTGCTGTAATTGTCCCATCATCAAAGAGATCTGCTGGGGGGAAACCTCACTGCTGTAAGCCCTGCCCTGTCACCAGGGATCATGAGGAATCGTGGAATCTGCTCTCTGAAATCTTGGAAACTTCCCTTCCTGGAGCAACCCACAGACACTCATTGTCCCACCCAATCAGGTATTTTCTTGTCATAGAGCTTTATCTCCTCAAGTTCTTGCCTTCTTTTCACACTGACTGCATCTGTCACAAAGCTAATCATTGCCTGAGATTAAATCACATCTATCACACTGTCAGAAAATTATATTTATGGAAATGAGTCATTGTCTTTCTAATGGCTTGCATAATGTGAATTCTTCTTCCTTTTTCTTTTTAAACTGAGACACCTCACCTGTCCCAGTGCCATATAAGCTGGATCTTATCAGAGAGAGTTAAGGAAAAATTTGGCAGGAACCCTTTCCTCAACACACCATTCTCTTCAGGGCTAATTTGAAACTTTAAATCCAGGAAAAACTTGTTCTATGTAATGGCACATATCAAAAAAACTAGCAACAACAAATGTTGGCGAGGATGTGGTGAAAAAGGAACTCTCCTACATCGCTGGTGGGAGTGCAAATTGGTCCAACCACTATGGAAAGCTGTCTGGAGGTTCCTCAACTACTAAAAATGGAGCTACCATATGACCCAGCAATTCCACTCTTAGGGATCTACCCAAAGGACACAAAAACATTGATTCAAAAAAATACCTGTGCCCCTATGTTTATTGCAGCACTATTTATAATAGGTAAAACCTGGAAACAACCCAAATGCCAAAAATAAATAGATGACTGGATCAAGAAGATGTGATATATATATATATATATATACACAATGGAATACTATTCAGCAATCAAAAAAGATAAACTCATGTCATTCACAGCAACATGGATGGAGCTAGAAGGAATTATGCTCAGAAGGAAAAAGAAAAATATCAGATGGTTTCACTTACAGGAGGAATATAGGGAAACCAGATAAGACATCAGTTTAAAAAAAATGACAATACAAAAGACAACAAAACAAAAACAAAGAGACAATTACAAATCAGAGACATCCTGCAAAGGGAGGAAGGGAGGAGCACAGGGGACTGTGGTGATGGTGCACATATGCATTGGTGAAGAAAAATCCATGGGGACTACACTTGGGGCAGGGGGGAAGCAAACATTGTTTAAAAATGAACAATGATGCAAAAAATATATTAAAAAAAATAAAATATGCTAAAAAAAGGGAAATGGGAGAATATAGCGAACTTTTTTTTTTAAATAAAAAAATAAAATTTTTTGGTGTTATTTTTCATTGCCATCAAGCTTAGATCATGCCAACATTTCTGGAAAAGATGTACATTGACATGGATCTCTCCTCTCCACCAGGCCCATGAGAGGAAACAGAGCCAAGTACCTCTGGCCCTGCTGCTGGGCCTTGCCTGAGGCTATTGTCTTGGCTCCAAGGACACCATCCCATATCCATTTAGGATTTTACTGGGCAGGATGAGTAATCAAAGCAGAATCAGACTGGTTAGAAAAGGAAAAATCAATTTATTATAATCAGCAGGACTGGTTTTATGACAATGTGCTGTTCACTGGCTGAAAATACCCATTACTCAGGGTAAGTGTTGTGATAAAAGAGGATCCCAATGCAATTTGATTGTTGGAAAGCAGACCAACAGTTCAGAAAGTCATATCCAGTTGCAATTTCAAATTCCCCTCATGGGGAGTGTGGCTGAAGTTAGAGTCACAAGATTCTTCCCAAGAAGGTGAAAAAGGGAAAGCAATTATTAAATTCAGAAAAAAACAAAGGGGAGTGAGATGTCAAATGACCCATGCCAGCAGGGATGGTTATCCAGAAATGGAATGAATGAAAAGTCGTTTGACTGTGTTAAACACTGCTTTCATTACAACACCGCTTGTGGTTGAGAGGGCTAACGGGATGCCCTGTGGGTTCTACAACATGAAAGGCCTCCTAACAAAGCTACTTTTCTTTGGAGGAATTTAAAATATTGGAAAGTGGAGATTGCTCTGAGAAACCTGATCAGAAGCTGCCCGGGGTTGAGGTCAGGTTAAAGATTAACAAAGGGTCCTGGCTCCCCAGGTTCTACCCCTGCCGCAGATCAAAGGCTTTTGGCACTTGAGCAGTAACACGGGAGGAATGGAAAAGAGCCGCATCAGGATCCCTGATACAGGAGTTCCGTGAACTGTGTGTCAAACTGCATTGATGAAACCCTGACATGGGCTACAAATGGAATTGGAGACTGAAAAACTGTCAGGTTTGATAAGATTGTAAAAGTTGGAATGCTGAAGCAGGAATACTGTGATGTGAAGCGTTCATTTTTCTTGAATGTGTTATGGGCATGGAAATTGTGTTTGAGTGGGGACTATTTCCCCTAGCCAGCATCGTAAAACAGAAGGCAAGTAAATACATCCTTCAGTGTTAAATGGATATTTTATATGTGACACAATGAGACAGCCTGAACAGCCACTATGTATAATCCAAGCTAGAGGGCTGGTAGAGACAAATATTCTTTGCAAGTGAAACAGGATCCCCATGACTCCCAGCCTCAGCCAGGAGACCTGATCAACTTTGCTGAAACCAGCCTGGGTGGCCATGATTGATGTCTGACCCTAGCACCTCAGTGGCTGGGTTTGTGGACCAGCCCCCAAGCCTGGCAGCATCAGTCTAGCTTGTACAGTGGTAGCCCCCAGGCCAGTCTTATGGGCTCTGACAGTGCAGTCCATGACTCAACTTCATTGATGGGGAGGGGGGGGTGGGCGGTGCAAGGAAAAGAGAAAGAGAGAGGGGGAGAGAGAGAGAGAGGGGCACCAGTGGCATGTGCCATGTGCAGCCTGTGGGCCAGCAACCAGGTCTCCTGTGGCATCAGACTGGGTTGCACTGTGGTAGGACCCAGGCAAGTGTGGCAGACTCTGACAGTGGCAGTGACCTCCAAGTTTTGCAGCCTCTGGGTTGGGGTCACTGGGGTGAGCTCCAGCTGCAGCTCCCCTGAGACCACTGCTGATGAGATCATCCAACCTTAGCATTGGTTGGGTCTGGGAACAAACCAGGGTTTCACTTGTGAATTAGGTGCCAAAATTTAATTAGACCAATCAGATTCAAGCTCTCACCAGTGCCATTTAAGGCTTTGACTCTATTAAGGATTGTAAATGAACAGCCTGATTGGAACATGACCAGCACTTGAGATGGATGGGCACCACCTTGTTTGGAAGGCCCCCACTCTAGTGGAAGAAAATAAAAACAAATCCACACCTTCAGCTGAGTTGCCCACTGTTTTCCCAGCAGTGATAGAATTGAACAATGATAAAAGACACCATGTTTGAGTTTTTAATGACTCTTGGGTAGTGGCCAATGGCCAGGTCACATGGTCAGCTGGGAGGGCCATTGAATCCCAGCCTATTAAAGGGATGGCTGCATGGGGCACAGCCCTGAGATAAGACTTTGTGGTTCTGAACATACATGCCAACAGCAGTATTTGTAACCTTCGCACAAAACATATTACTCTTCTGCTTCCATTCCTCATTGTCCATAGCATTCATAAAGCATGTTTACTTTCTTCTTCAGCATGTTATGATCTTAACTTCTTTGTCAATTATGCAAAGGGTAAATTCCTGGTGTGTGAGCACAGGGACTGGGGAGGACAAAACAGAGAAGCCTGATGGCAGGAAGCCATCCTTTCCCTCCCCAATGCAAAATGCTCTTACACACTTGGTGGTTTCCATTTCACAATGACACACCTTCCATATACCGCCTCCAGGACCTCATGGCTCTTAGTTCTGAGTCTGTGCATTCAGCACTTGCATCCTGTAAGACAGAGATGAGGAATGAAACTAAAGAAGTAATGATTGCACAAAAGGTGAATGAACTTGGAATGAAAAAATCAAACACATAAATGTTTAAGGCTGGTCAATAATATAAAACAGAAAAACAAACATGGAGCCATCCCAAGTGCGGGTGAGAATAGGAGTCAGGGGCTGCAGAGGGTGAGGTGCAGTTGTACAGGCACCAAGGAGTGTGGGGGCATGCCCCAACTGTACACTGCCAGGAGGAAAGGATCCCATGCAGACCATCCCAGCACAGGGGGGAAAGTGAGCCCACCACAGACTGAAGCTTCCCGGTCACCTGAACTGTGCTGGCTGCAAACCTTGTCTGCCTAAGCAGACCTGAGTGGGACCAGCCTGTCTTTTCTTACACACACACACACACACACACACACACACACACACACACAGGAGCTCCCCGCAGGGCCCCCCCTGCACACAACCCAGGGTCCGTGTTCCCAGCAGTGCAGCACTGCAGCCTTCCGATAAGCTTGTGATGGACAGATGACTACATGACAAACAGAAAGCGAGGCTGTGAACAGTAGCTCAGTAGCTGGAGAATGACTCTTCAGAATGGCTTTCACTTCCTATAAAACCACCCCAGTGCACACCCCTAACCCTCTGTGCAGCAGCAGGGGAGGGGGGGGGCGGTGTCTAACACAGCTACAACTTCACCTCTCCTATGTGCACTGGGTGTTTCTCATGGCAGAAGGCGGCACTGCAGGAACATTAGTCATGTTGGGAAAATGAAACATCCTTCCTGGTCTCTGAACTGAGTGTCCTCAGGGCATTAGTGCTGGAAAGTACAGACCAACGTTCAGCACCTGCTCAGCTCCCAGACTCCACACTCCACTGTGGGACCCGCAGGAGAGGCTGCGCCCCGATTCTCCCAGAGTCTAAGTCCTCAAAAGCACATTATAGTGAAACTGAAGCCAAACTCTTACCCAGTCCTGATTTTGGACATTTTTATTTCTCTGACTTTGGAATGTAGCATGCGTACATCATAGGATGTTTCTCATGTCTTCATTCCTTCTCTGAATTTTATTGAAGTTCTTCAGAAGAGCACATTGAATCACTAGTCATTGCTCATTGCAGCACTTCTGGTTTTAGAATGGAATCCAGGCAGGCAGAGAGAGCTTTACTTGAAATTTGAGTTCTTCATCAGGGAGCCGCTGGTTCTCACTTTGTTTGATGAAGATCTTTCTTGAGGGCCTCCCCTGGTGGCGCAGTGGTTGAGCACTGGGCTGCGAAGCTGCCTGCAGCCTCTGCAGTGCCGGTTCAATCCCTGGCCACTGGCAAGTGTCCCACATGGCGCGACAGGCCTCTCCTGCCACTCCCGATGCTCCCCTCAGCAGTGTATTTTGTTGGTCTGCCTGTTCTGTTCCCCGCTCTGGCTCTGGTGAATTCTCTCACCCTCCCACGCTTCTGACTGTACCCAGTGCTCATATAAATAAATAAATAATTCTTTAAAAAAAAATCTTTCTAGAACTCATTAATCTATATCCATATATATAAATATGCATAAAATAATTATAATTCCAAAATGTGAAAACGCCCTATGGGAGCTTGGAGGGTGCATCCAAGCAGGACATGTGGATGCCCAGCAGAACTCCCTTCCAGGTTTGGAAGCTGGCCAGGTCAACAAGCAGATAGTCCCAGTCCCACATGCTTGCTTAAGGTTTGCACCCCGTCCATACAGAGTGGCCATACAGAGACGGCTGACGCTAGCCCTCCGAGGTCACACCCTCTGAGGTACAGTGCACCAGTGAGGGCTTCCTGTCAGTAAAGGAGATGGAGAGCAGGGATGGCCAAGCATCGGCCTTCTGGTAGGGAGGCTGACCAGCGCTGGAGTCAGACCAGCACTGGAGGCCTGGAGCTACAAATGGGTCCTGACAGGAAGAGATGCTGACACTGGGCAGGCCTTTGCTTACCAGGTGGTAAACACAGGTGCTCAGAGTGCTTCTAGAACAACCAAAACAGAAGATACCACACCAATTGTTGGCTGGCCATCATGGGAGTCCTTCAGACTAAGGAATGTATGTTACAGCTGTGACATGCAGGGAGGGACACACACATCCGCTCAGAGGAGTACATTTTCTTATTTAGAACTGGCAAGGATTTATTAGGGTTGACACTCTGAGGGGAGGACAAAAGCAAGGAGGCAGAATTGGGCAGGTAAAACATGCGGACTGAAATCAGATCCCACATTCTCTGAATGTATAACATGCCACAGCCTGTGTCAGGGCTCAGAGCCCATGCTCCCCAAATTTCAAGCTGATTGTGTAAATGGTGGAGGTCGGGGTGGTGACTGACTTGCCAAGGGCCTCCAGGATGGAAGAGGTGGACATGGCCCAAAGTCCATGAATGGTAACAAAGAGCAGCCCATGGGAAAGGGCATGGAGGGGGACCTTGGAAAGAGGAGGTGCTCTTACACATATATTGATCTTGCCCTGCCAGATGACCTTCACAATAGTGAGCTGCATTTCTAATGGAAGCTGTACCAGGTCCCAACTCTCAGTGGGGGTTTCTGCATCCTGGCTCCTTGCAGCATTCTTTCTGCCTCTTGTATTCCTCATGCAATACTTTGGCAATATTTCCCATTTCTGTTTCAAGTAGGCCAATTCCCTGAGCTGTGCCACCATGGCCCTTTCCATCTCACCTGCCTCTGTGCACTTGTCTGGAGCCTTCTCCTAATAGCCCTCTGTTGGAGGGTGAGCTCTGTTTGCGGCAATTGTTCCAGCATTTCTTCAGTTTGTTGCAAGTGTTTGTCACATTTTTCTCGAAGCCACATTTGCTTATTGCATTACAGATGTTCAGCATTGTCACTGGAGATCTGCCTGCACAAAATCCTGATCCCCATCAAAACCTTAGTTTGATCCACCCCTTACAACTGACCTCCTTTTACCAAATTCTCTCATCTCCCACCCCTTTTCTCCTGGTCACCTCCAGTCTGTTCTCTGTATCTGAGAGCTTGTATTGCTACCAAGTATATTTTTCAAATAAATGATGAGTTTGCTTTCTTTGAAAACTGCAAAGTAAAAAAAAGCCTGAAATTTTATATAAATATTTAACACAAAAACAAGTTTTATTACACCTATTTATAAGGGTTTCAGTATTTTCACCTGCTTCAATGTTGATGGAAACAACTAATTTTAACTAAAATTTAATTAAAAATACAAACTGCAAGTTATTTTACCTCAAGGTCTCATCTGGCTCAGCAAGTGGGTTCCAGGGCATTCATAGAAGGTCCTGATAGCTAATGTCTCAGCTTCTCTGAATGTATCCTGATTTCTCCCAAGACACAATCTGAAACCGGTAAAAAAGAAGTATTAATACCACGATGTCTATGGCACGGACTTCCCGACTGCTCAATGAATGGGTTTTTGTAAACTAAGCCTTGTTCAAATACCATCAGAAAAGCCAATCAGCGGGAGCCAAGCCCAAATGCAGGGTCTGCGGTGCTCACGGACCAGAGTCCCTGCGCCCCACAGAGCTCGCACCTCGGCGCTCGCCTCCTCAGGGCGCTTCTTGCTCGCGCTGAGCCGCCACAGCCGTCCCTCGGGGGCTAAACCCACCTGAGAGCAGCCGAGGCTCCCCGCGTGGAAGCCGCTCCGGGGCCCTGGGCTGTGCCGGCGCTCCCCGCCCCGCGGCCCCCGGGCCAGAAGGACCCGGCTGCGGGCTCTGGGGCGGTTACCGCCCGCGGGGAGCACCTGTCACCCCGGTGCGTGCCGGTCGCGCGCCCCCTGCTGTCCGTGCTGAGAATCACTGCCTCTCCCGGCCGCGCTCAGCAGGGGGCGCTGCGGGGGCTCCGCCCAGACAGGGTCTCTGGGGCGGGTCTCAAGGGCAGGAGCAGGCGAACGCGGAAATCTTACATTTTCTGTGTGTTGAGTCCAATTACGTATTTGCATAACTTAAAACCTTTAAACAGTGTCTAGATGACAACTCTACATACGCTAAGTAACAATTGTGTTTACCTCGCTGAATACCGGGTCAATAAAAAATTGTCCCCCCTTTACCATTTAAAATTCTTTCTTACCTTCTTAATTCAAAAGAAATAATTTCCAGTCAGTGTAGAATGTGGGATTCAGCGTGCACAGACAGGGTCTCCAGCACCCCCGCCTGGAACATGACAGCTTACTTTGAAAATGCCCCCAGTGTGCCTGGTGACACTTAGAGGTCAGGGTCCTAAGGCAAACCTAGAGGGAGCTGCTCTTGTGGTTTACCCCGTGTCCCAGGCTAATATTTTCTCTAAGTTTTGCTTCAGAGAGGGCGGGTGACTGAAATAATGGCCAGTAATCCTACGCTGACCAACTCTGTTTTGTCAGATAGCCATTGCCATCTCTTCACCACCACCAGGAGGCCTGGTGAAGAGAAGTTTCTGTTTGGACACCAGAGAAGGCTGTGGTGTGTTCACCTGTCCCCCGACTGTCAGGTCCCCAACTTAGCAGGGGGTGTGGGGCTGCAGCCCATCATGCAGGTACTGGTGCAGTACAGGGGGCACATGGTTGTGGCTCTGGTTGGGCTCTTGGCCTGTCTGTCCTTTCTCCAGAATGCATCAGAAGGCTTCCTTTGTTCTCCTGTCTTAGAGCATTTGCAGAGTGGAGTCCACTTCTCAGGCAGTATTTGCCAAAAGCATTTTGCAGACTCAGGTACTGACCTCAGGAACCGGGGCTTTTTAAGACCAAAGGTTTGAGAGAGATGCTGTCGAATAGGGTGAACAGACCCATGTCTGCAGCACTGTTGTGTGTGTGCACCTGGATGTGGGGTATCTAGAATGTTAGGGACAGCATTTCTCAGAAGCTCAAGGAAAACAGGACCCACCATTGAGTAAGCATTGCTGTAGTAAAATTGCAAGAAAAATCTGTGGATCTGAACCCCTTCTGTTGTCTCATTCATTCATTCATTGATTAAACATGTCCCAGGCCTTGTTTTAGTTCTAGAAAGTAAATTATATAGAACGAAATGTCCCTACCGAGGGTCTTCCTCACCAGGGCCTGCTGTGGGGCCTGCACACGAGGGGTCATGGTTCTGTGGAAACCTGGCTTCAGCGCTGTGCTGCCCCAGGCTCCTGCAGCCTGGAGCTGGCAAGATGGGACGCAGTCACCCAGGTTGATGGTTATACCCTCCTGCTTCCCCTCCTGTCATCCAGAACTGTGTCCACCCAAGGGCCTAAATTCACCCAGTTACAAATGATGTCACATGTAAAGTACTGAGGGTCCCCTGAGGCACAGATGCAGCAGAACCCACACTGGGGGCACCAGGCATCGCTTAGCACTTTCACATCCAGCCCCAGGGGGTGTCACACCACTTCCCCCTCCGTGGAAGCTCACCTGCCCCCCCACCCCCATACCCTGGTGCTGCTGCACTGGGGAGGGGCTGCCCTGCCACTTCCTCCCTCTCCTCTGGCCCCTCGTCCCTCTCCATCCCACTCTGAAGGCGTGTGGGCTCCTCCACCAGGAAGGCTGACCTCCTCAAATTCCGTATCTCCAGTGGCTCGGAGTCTGAAGCTCTCCAGTCTGAAACTCTGAAACTCTCTCCAGAGTGTGGTGTTGGTTTGGGTGGGCTCCCCCAGCCCTGGATCTGCTGCTCCTCCAAGACCCCAACTGCCCACGTTCACATGCACAGGTGGGTGAAGCTCCTGGGTATGTGTGATGGTTCATTCTCCTTCCAGATGTCCAGTGTGTTCATGATAAGGGGGAAGAAAGAGAAATGACCCACACCTCCATGACACTGACGTTGGTCCCTTTATCTTATCTCACATGTTAATCAAAAGCTATTTGGAGGTCTATGTACATCCTCACACGCCCCCTCCAAGACTGCAACTCAGTGACATTTAGAACAAGCTGTCACCGTCCTTCATTTTGGAAGCTGTGATGTTACTGTTATTATTTCAACCCTGCCATTTGCTCCAAGCAGGCCAGTGACGCAGAAGATGACGTGCACGGCAGGGGACATGCAGGCCAGAACCCAGACTGACATCCTCGATCAGGACAAGAATCAAATTTCCCTGAGAGTCCCTCTGAAAAAGCAGCTACTGAGACCACAATGCACAGTACCCCAGGAGAGATGAAGGAACCGCAGTGCGTCTTTGTGCATCAGGCTGGTGAGGGGGTGACAGGGGCCAAAGCAGGATGAGCCCCAGGAGCCACCCCTGCACCTCCACCCCAGGTCCCTAGGGGGAGGGGGCACCGAGCAGGCCTGAAGGGGGCGCTAGGAGAAGGGGTTTCTAGGAGGTGGGGTCAGGACAGGGGACAAGGGCCAGGAAGGACTGGGAATGTGGGGGGTGGGGTAACGAGGAGAATCTCCTGGATCAAATAGGAGTCAGAGAGGAAATCACAAGGAGAGGACATCTTATCTAGACTCAAGTGATGATGACAATGACTACGCTACAATAAACAATCTCCTGCTGCTGGGACAAGCCACTTGGGTGGCAAGTTGTCAGGCTTTCAAGATTATCTGTCATTCCACAACCTGGTTGCGTGATCTTTAATCACACACACAAGTGGGACAAATAGATGTTGACACTGATTGAGATTTCAGAGCTCTACAAAGAACTTGTGCATTTTAAATGATGGCTTCTCGCTCCTCCTGGGGCCACGGGACAGTGCCCATCACCCAGGAGTCAGGAGTGGCTGTGTCCTTTGCAGGTACCTCAGACCAGCTGCGAGTGTGGGTAGTTTCTTCGGGAAGTTCTTCTGGAGACAGTCACGATTTTGAGGTGCAGCCAACACACACTGGAAACAGGGGGTTCGTGAGGAGTCACTGCTGGGGCAGTGGTATCTGCAGCCCAGAGGGAACCCCAAGAGCTTTTCAGAAGAGACAGGGGATCACCCACCCAGGGGTGCCAAGTGCTCCTTGGGGGATGCTGCTTTCATGGGAATGATAACCTGGCAGAGGAGCTCACTGCCCTGGCTGAGGAAGTGGTGAAGCCTTGGGAGTCTCAGTCAGAGCTGTGGGCACTGGTGGGAGGCCCCAGGCAAAGCACATAGAAGTGCCCATAAGGAGAGCAGGACACCAATCTTCCCTCACATCTCTGTGTCTTAATATCGAACCCCCCAGATCAAGATAATAGAGACACAGGTGCAGGGCTGGATTCATTTGGAAAATGCCTGGATGTTTCCTTCGTTTTACTGTCATTCACAGCCCTAACTCTGACACTTCCTAAACACAACTAACACCTTTCCACAGCTACCCCAGCCACTCATTTTTTTTTAAAGATTTATTTATTTATTGATACAAGCACTGGGTACAGTCAGAAGCACAGGAGGGTGAAAGGATTCCCCAGAGCCAGAGGGGAGAGCAGAGCAGGCAGACTGACGAAGTACACTGCTGAGGGGAGCAGCGGGAGCAGCAGGAGAGGTCTGCCGCACCTTGTGGGACCCTCACTGGCGGCCGGTGATCAAACCAGCGCTACAGAGCTGTGGGCAGCTTCACAGCCCAGCACTCAACCACTGCGCCACAGGGGAGAACCCCCAGCCACTCATTTTTAACCTAGATTTTATTATCGTGGGAGATGGAGGTTTAGTTTTGACCAATGAATTTGAATGGTCCTAAAAATGCTCACGTCCAGATAAACGACCGGCAGATATATAAAGGGTAGGCACCATTCTTTGGTCCCCAAAATGATTCTGCCCAAGTGCATCTTGTTCAGCTCCTATACTTCATCTAATACGCAAAAGTTAGTCTTTGGTGAAGTCGAGCAGCACACCTTCCAATCTCAGGCACAGGCTGTAGAGATTCCCTTCAGTTCAATGAGCAGGTGGTCTAGGCTCTGCTAATGCCTATATATGCAATATTTCCATCCACATCAAATATCAAATGGAGAAGTATACAAGGATGAGATCCATTCACAGATGCATTTTTTTAAGATATCTGCTACTGTGAAATATTTTGTACCTTGGGAAAAAAAAATGTAATAAAGATGGATACAAAACATCCTGACCTGATAGACACTACCTGCTCCCACAGACAGCTCCAGCTTAAAGCAAAGGACGATCCCGAAAGGACGTGTGATGACCGCCTCACTTAGGGGGGTTCTGACTACTGTGTCTGACTAAGAAAATCAGCCAAAGGGAAAGGGAACAGTAAAAGTTCTCATTAGGCAGCAAGTGTCCATATGAGTCAGCTGAAGACACCATCTTCCTCCTCTTCTAAAGCCAGTCACAAAATTTGTGGGGTACAGTCCTATCCACATTCAGAAGTGGTCCCCATAACTTCCTGAACAATAACCAGCCCCGCCCATCCCCAGCCCTGCCACAGCACTGCGTGTGCAGGTGCTCAGGGTGAGCACTCCATGAGGTGTCGGTTCCCCGATGCAGACTCTGAGACTCAGGTAAAATTGGGACACTATGAGAGACAAAAACATAGGAGACAGGATGGGCGGGGAGAATATTCAGCTCATATGGCAGATTCCAGGATGAGTCTGAAACCACTTGTGTCCTGGTTCACAAGCCTTTCCAAATGCCTGGTAGACCTGAAAAGCAAAGACATTTGGTGTTAATTCATGGTGACCTTCAGTTTTATATGAGTCTGTCTTCACCTCGTGGCCTCTGATGAGCCCTTCAGTGTGTGGCCGCATCCGAGTGTCACGTACAGGGAATAGAATTGCTTTCTGATCTCTGACCCAGATCTCTGAACTCACACATTTCCCCAATTATCATTGCT